ATAACAGCAGTCATTAAAAGTTTCCCCACTAAAAAAAGCCCAGGACCAGATGGTTTTAGTGCTGAATTTTATCCGACCTTCAAGGAAGACCTAATACCAATTCTCTTCAAACTATTCCACAAAATAGAAACAGAAGGAACACTACACAATTCATTCTATGAAGCTACAATTACATTCATACCCAAACCCCACAAGACACGACAAAGAAAGAGAACTTCAGACCAATCTCTTTTATGAACATCGATGCAAAAATACTCAATAAAATTCTAGCAAACCGAATCTAAGAACACATCAAAACAATCATCTATCATGATCAAGTAGGTTTTATCCCAGGAATGTACGGATGGTTCAATATTCAGAAATCCATCAATGTAATCCACTATATAAACAAACTCAAAGTAAAAAACCACATGATCATCTCACTAGATGCTAAGAAAGCATTTGACAAAATTCAACATCCCTTCATGATAAAAGTCTTGGAAAGATCAGGAATTCAAGGCTCCTACCTAAACATAGTAAAAGCAATTTACAGCAAACCAGTAGCCAACATCAAGCTAAATGGAGAGAAACTTGAAGCAATCCCACTAAGATCAGGGACTAGACAAAGCTGCCCACTCTCCCCCTACCTATTCAATATAGTACTGGAAGTCCTAGCCAGAGCAATTAGACAACAAAAGAAGTCAAAGAGATACAAATAGGAAAGGAAGAAGTCAAAATATCACTATTTGCAGATGATATGATAGTATACTTAAGTGACCCCCAAACTTCCACCAGAGAACTCCTAAACCTGATAAACAACTTCAGCAAAGTGGCTGGTTATAAAATCAACTCAAACAAATCAGTAGCCTTCTTCTACATGAAAGATAAACAGACTGAAAAAGAAATTAGGGAAATGACACACTTCACAATAGTCAGAAATAATATAAAATACCTTGGTGTGAATCTAACCAAGCAAGTGAAAGACCTGTATGACAAGAACTTCAAGTCTCTGAAGAAAGAAATCGAAGAAAATCTCAGAAGATGGAAAGATCTACCATGCTCATGGATTGGAAGGATTAATATAATAAAAATGCCCATCTTGCCAAAAGCAATCTACAGATTCAGTGAAATCCCCATTAAAATCCCAACTCAATTCTTCACAGAGTTAGAAAAGGAAATTCTCAAATTCATATGGAATAACAAAAAACCCAGGATAGCGAAAACTATTCTCAACAATAAAAGAACTTCTGGAGGAATCACCATCCCTGACCTCAAGCTGTACTACAGAGCAATAGTGATAAAAACTACCTGGTATTGGTACAGAGACAGGCAGGAAGATCAATGGAATAGAACTGAAGACCCAGAAATGAACCCACACTCCTATGGTCACTTGATCTTTGACAAAGGAGCTAAAACTGTCCAGTGGGAAAAGGACAGCATTTTCGACAAATGGTGCTGGTTCAACTGGAGGACAACATGTAGAAGAATGAAAATTGATCCATTCTTATCTCCTTGTACAAAGCTCAAGTCTAAGTGGATAAAGGACCTCCACATAAAACCAGATACACTGAAACTAATAGAAGAGAAGGTGGGGAAGAGCCTCGAATACTTGGGCACAGGGGAAAAGTTCCTGAACATAACACCAATGGCTTATGCTCTAAGATCAAGAATTGACAAATGGGACTTCATAAAATTGCAAGGTTTCTGTAAGGCAAAGGACACTGTCAATAGGACAAAACGACAACCAACAAATTGGGAAAAGATCTTTACCAATCCTACATCTGACAGAGGGCTAATATACAATATATACAAAGAACTCAAGAAATTAGACTCCAGACAACCAAATAACCCTATTTAAAAATGGGGTATCGAGCTTAACAAAAATTTTCAATGGGAGAAACTCAAATGGCTGAGAAGCACCTAAAGAAATGTTCAGTATCCTTAGTTGTCAGGGAAATGCAAATCAAAACAACCCTGAGATTCCATCTCACACCAGTCAGAATGGCTAAGATTAAAAACTCAGGTGATAGTAGATGCTGGCGAGGGTATGGAGAAAGAGGAACACTCCTCCATTGTTGGTGGGACTGCAAGATGGTGCAACCACCTTGGAAATCAGTCTGGCAGTTCCTCAGAAAATTGGACATAACATTACCTGAGGATCTAGCTATACCACTCCTAGGCATATACCCAGAAGATGCTCAAACATATAACAAGGACATATGCTCAACTATGTTCATAGCAGCCTTAGTTATAATAGCCAGGAGCTGGAAAGAACCCAGATGTCCTTCAACTGAGGAATAGATTCAAAACATGTGGTATATTTACACAATGGAGTATTACTCAGCTATTAAAAACAATGAATTCGAGAGTTTCCTAGGTAAATGGATGGAACTAGAAATTATCATCCTGAGTGAGGTAAGCCAATCACAAAAGAACACACATGGTATTCACTCACTGATTATTGGATATTAGCCCAGAACCTTGAAATGCCCAAGATGCAACTCACAGGCCACATGAAGCTCATAAAGAAGGAAGACCAAGTTGTGGTGATTTGGTCCTTCTTAGAAGGAGCAACAAAATACTTAAGGGAGCAAATATGGAGACAAAGTGAGGGACAGAAACTGAAGGAGGGACCATCTGAAGACCATTCCACCTGAGTATCCATCCCATGTGCAGTCACCAAAGGTAGATGCTGATGTGGAAGTCAGGAAGTGCATGCTGATAAAAGACTGATATGGATGTCTCCTCAGAGGTCTTCAAGAGTCTGACATATTCAGATGCAGATGCTCACAACTAGCCATTGAACTGATCATGGGGGTCTCAATGGAGGAGTTAGAGTGAAGACTGAAGGAGCTGAAAGGGTTTGCAGCACCATGAGGAGAGCAACAACACCAACCAACCACAGCTCCCAGGGTCTAAACCACCAGCCTGGGAGCACTTAGGGAGGGATCCATGGCTTCAGCTGAATACCTAAGAGTGGAGGGCCCTGCTGGGCATAGGTAGAAGAAGAGATCCTTGACGTCATGAAGGCTGGACGCCCCAGGGCGTGTGAATTTTGAGGGTGGGAGGTGGGAGTGGGGGGGTAGGTAGGGGTTACATCCACAGAGAAGAAGGAGGAGGGGTGAGGGGATAGGGGGTTCCTGGGTGGGTGGGGGATGGGGGATGGGGTATGGGGACAACATATGAAATGTAAATAAAACATCCAATAAAAAAATTAAAAAAAAAAGAAAGTGTAAATTTGTAATATTTCCTGTATGTCAGAAACATTAAACAAAGCCAGAGCTCCAGGACAAAGAACCAGTAACAGATGTAAAAATACATTTTATTTCAAGACTTCATACCTGAGTGCTTTGATCTATATATACATTCGTATATAAGCTGTCTTAGAAGCCAGTGGTATTTGTGATTCTACTTTTATTTCAATATACATTGATTTAAAAACAGATTATTTAAAAATACTTTTTAGTGCAAATAATTTCCCACAATAAACAGCTGATAGATAAGGGAAAAAAACAAAAACAAAAAACAAAAAACAAAACAAAAAAACAAAAACAAAAAAAAAGAACAAAAAAAAAAGAAGTGCTGAAGGCAGGGAAGTATAAAAGATGAAGCCAGAAAAGAAGAATGGAAAGAAGGAAAGACAGATACCTCAGAAGGTAGTATTTAGTTATATATGTATATTCTAACACATGTGTTTATGTAATGACAATTAATGAGAAAAGAGGCCATTAATATTCAGAAAAATAAATATACGTTGTCTTGTAGGCACATAAAAAGATTATTTTGTTGTAATACTACTTAATCTAAAAAAGGATAAAAAAATATCATGACATAACAAATTGTTTCCTTTCCATGGCAAAACTATTTCTTCCATCAGGAGACTGTGCTTTCTGTTTCTCCATGATTAGGAATCCCAGAGCTCTGTGTGCTTCTGGAAAGAGAGAAGGGAAGAATGTAATCAGATTGTAATAACCAAACTAAAATTAAAAAATGAACTTGGAGTGCAATGACTATGGAGCCTTAACTCAAAGGACAGAGGCCACAATAAGGAAGACATGTTGTGTCTCCAGGAAATGGGCTAAAAGTGTGTTTGAAGAACTGAGAGATCAACAAAAAATACTGAATGAGGGTATGTGAAAGAGGGATCGCTCCAGTTTCTTACAGAAAAAGAGGAATGGTACCCAGGTATGTTGTCCTCTTCCTCAAGCATCATATGTGTAACTCTAGGTAGCTATTCATTTGCATCCTTGCTAAATGTGGCCACTGAAACTGGAAAACTGATTTCTTTGTCTATTTGGTGGGTAATTTTAGAGCCCTGCATGTTTTTGTAAACTACACTGGCCAACAAGTGTTGGACTCTAAAGATCCAAAACCAGGGGACACGCTCCCCCAGAGACACTCACGGACAAGACTTGCTGCAATAGCATGAGGTTTATTGGTAAATTGATGAGTTGATGAATTGATAGTGGCTGGTGCACCAGGGCTCTTCTGCTCATAGGCAAGAAGAACCCCAAACTGAGGTTAAGGGTAGCTTGTATACAGAGTTTACAAGGACAGTTAATTACTTCTTAGACAATATAAAAAAAAGATTTCAAACAGCTGTTCCCAGACCTTGGTTTCTAAGCAACTCAAAGTTACACCACAAAGAGGATTAGCTTAAGTGACTTCTGTTTACCCAGGTGTACTTAAGGGCTCATCTCCCTGATAAGACTCTTATCTTGGGTCCCTCTTCCTGGAATGTTTGTTTGAGTCTTTGGAATGTGCTCTTCCCAGGATGTGCCTCATGGGCAAACTAATATTTGAGTGTAGACCAAAACTCAGACTTAAGGATCTTTTAAGTTCAAGCTGAGACTTGAAATTACATTCTTACACAAGGTCTTAGACTTCTAAGACAGAAGGAACCATTTTACCATATCTGGTAAAAGCGTTCTCCCATCAAAATAATCTCTTACAAGAAGACCAAAGAAAAGTACTGTATTCATTCATAAGATAATTCTGCTTCTTTGTATTATTTCAACTAGGAATCCAAGAAGCTTTTCATCTAGGTCTACCACTGTGTCCTATGTTGAAGAAAACCTCAAGTTTGCTGCCTGCAACAAGATCCCCAAAAAGTATGTTAATAACTTAGGCAATCCTGGCCACAGAAAGTTCTCCCATCTTGAGATAATAGAGTGACTTTAGTGTTGAAGGATGTATAGGATTCTAATTTTCAACAAGAGGAGAAGCACATCTACTGAGAATGGTAACACCTCAATGCTCAGAGACCGTGCAGATAAAATGATGAATGAAACCACATTCATTGCTGGAAGAGAGTGCAGAGCCTCAGAAACAAAACTTTTGACACGTGGCCCAGAGGCCAAATCCAATTCTTTTCTGTATGCAATAGCAACATCCTGACTTCTTGCCCCTCAGCTGTTATCTTGACCCTAGATTCAAGGGTCACACACAGTGAAATGAGATTTCCCAGCTGGTACTGACACTATGGATCCAGACTTTTAGAGACCATCAGATGCTGATGCTCAGCTTTTTTTTTTTTTTTGATCAGCTGCTCAGTAGAAAAAATTCATCCATCATTTTATACATGGCCAATTAAAAATGTCTTAAAACCTGCTAACGGCAGAGAGGTGCACTCTGAAAGACTAATCTAATTGTGAATGCCTCTAATTGTGAATGCCTCTGAGGCCTTAAGTTTCTCACTCTAACTTTAGAATTATTATGAGATGTAATATGAATTATTTTTTATGTAAATGTAAACAATGTATTAATTTAATGGCTGTATTTCTTTAGCCTTGCTAGTCCCCAACAAATACAAAAAGAAACCAGTGTGGGTTGGTGAGCTGTGAGAGGCAGCTGAGTACCTGGTCGAGCAGGCTTTGAACCCCAGAGACTCTCAGGTACAGTAGGAGTTTGGCCTTGCTCCTGGACCCCGGCTCCTTTCACATAGCTACAGCCCCCTACAGAGAGGACTGCAGCCATTAGTCACATAGAACTACACCCCTACTAGCCCCTCCATGGGTAGAGGGCATAACTACAGACCACAGAGCCTCAAGATAAATCTCCATATTAATTAGATACCTGAAGGCCAGAGGGCATAATTAAGCATTCCTTTCCAGACCCTCCACCTTGCAAAAGGTATTCAACCTCAGGCCCACCCTGAGAATACCAGGGTATAGCTTTATCCATTTTCCACCATGACAATAAATATCTTAAGACCATAGTCTATTTCTCTTCTTTGGAGCCCACAGTGAGAAACTGTGGAGGTTTTCAACTACCAGCCACCATCTAATCTCCCTCTCTACATTCCAGCCATGGAGGCCATCAATTTCAGCAAGCCAGCCGAGCCAGCAGAGACCCAGCCAAGGGAGTCACCTTGACCAAGAGTCTCATAGGACACAGCTAAAGCTTCTTCCTCTCTCTGCTTTGGATGCATGTCAATCTAGTCTGTATGTCCCCACTGTCTCAGCCCTTCCACAGCCTTTCAGTGATGCCTGAGAGCCCAAAGGCCTGAGAACCAGTTGGTTCCCGGCCACCTTTTGGCCTGGGGACCCCCAACTCAAGAGCTCTGGCCCTGGTGGGACCTCAGACTATTTCCCCACCCCCTTGAGCTGAGTCTCAGGGCTTCACACAGCCTGAAGTCTGCCTGTCGCTGGGGTGGAGTGAACACAGTCACTTCTCAAGCCTTTGCCTCTATGAGCTCCTTGGGGGCAGCAGACCTGGGACCCACAATTCAACCCAACAACGGACCCACACACACTACAACCCAACAAACCAGGATTTATTTCAAGCTGCACCTCAATAGTGGGCAGTTAAATAATTTATAATAACCATTGTGCTAATCTGGCTGCCTCCCAGTCCCATACCATGATACTTGCATATTATTGATCTGGTTCTCTGGGCTTCAGATGTTTTTGTCTCATAGTGTCTTTTCAGACTCCACTTCATGAATGATCTGAATCACATCTAAAGAAAGGAGTCCAAAAACACTCTGGTGCCTCTGCATTACTGAGCCTGTCTTACTCAAAATAAACAATCAAAACTAAAACAAGTAATAATAATTTTTAAAAAGGTATCCTCATCCTGTGTGTTTTTAGGTGTGGGACTGTAATTTGGCCACGCCCCCCAGAGCCCAGAGAGAGGGCGGAGAGAACCAGTCTCTGCCTCAAGATTTCTCTGGCCCCGCCCTTCTCTGTTTCCAATATATAAGCAAAACACCTTCTGACATGTTTTGGGAGAGCGCTTTATCATTCACCACCCAAGCCCGCCATCTGTTAATAAATCAACACGTCTTAAATCTGCACATGTCTCTTGAATTCTGGACTCTTCGTGCATGTAAGTCAAGGCTCGCATGTGTCCCTGTCCGCGCGGGGCGGGGGAAGGGAGAGAAGTCGTTTGCCTGCCCCAGCACTCTCTGTACTCTAGTTAGCCGTGCAGCTTGTGTCCTGTGTCTCCTGTTGCTGCACTCCAGCTCGCGGGACAGGGGATGAGAAGCCTTTCTCTCCGCAGTCGGCTCTGCACGCCCACTGTCTCGAGACCGCCGCTCTGTCACTGTCGCCCTGTGACCAGAGCTCGCGTGGAACCCGACATTTAGGGAGATGGGCCAGATAGGATATGAAGTAGAGAAGTAAGTATAGGAACAATCTTCATATCAGTAGAGGAAATACATTTATGAATAATTCTCCCAGTAACACACACATACACAAACACACAGCACAAACACATATTCAAATACATATGCACACCACACATGCACACATGTGCATGATTTATCAAATGACAGCTATGCTCAATAATGGCCATGCTGACATAGATTACCTGTCATTTGTAAGCAAGAAATTGCCCTTTTCACTTGTGGCCTGGGATAATTTAAATGCCCTCTACACCATTCAACATCAGCCTAATCTAAGATAAAGAAAAAAAAAAGATAATGGGTGAGTGGTGCTTTAAGGAGTTTAGATAATTCTGTTTTCTGCTATAAAGACAGAAGGGGACCCAAAGTAAGTTCCATCTTACCTAAGCACCATTGTAAATTGCTAGACGGATACAATTTTGCTTTTCTAGAAAAAATGGTCACCAATAGAACTGGGTGATGATGTTTTCTCTTTCTCTTTGGTCAAGAATTCTAGAGACCAGCATGCCTCCAGAAACTGCACTGTCATTCAGGGTCAACAGTCCTTAAATACCCATGGGGTTCCAAGACAGAAAGTACCCTTCTCATGTAATTCTGAATGCAGACCCTATTAAACGCAGGCCCTAACAACAACGATGACAACAACAACAACAAACTACTGGCTTATTAGAAAGACAATTCTGCTTCAGGGTAGTTTCTTAGCTAATGTTTTACTGCTGTGAACAGACACCATAACGAAGGCAAGTCTTATAAAGGACAACATTTAATTGGGGCTGGCTTACAGGTTCTGAGGTTCAGTCCCTTATCATCAAGGCAGGAACATAGCAGCATCCAGGTAGGCATGGTGCAGGAGAAGTTGAGAATTCTACATCTTCATGGAAGGCTGCCGGGAAAATACTGGTTTCCAAGCAGCTAGGAAGAGAGTCTTAAGTCCAAGTCCACAAATCTACTCCAACAAGGTCACACCTTCTAATAGTGACATTCCTGGGCTAAGCATATACAAACTATGACATTCCACTCCCTGACCCCCATATGCTTCTTCAAACATATGAGTCTATGGTAGCCATACCTAAACATAGCATAATGCAAAATACATTTAGTCAAACTTCAAAGGGCTTCATAGTCTGTAGTAGTCTCAGCAATGTTAAAAGTCCAAAGTTCAAAATTTCTTCTGAGATTCATCCAGTCACTTCATTGTAATCCCCAAAGCAAGAGAGGAAACCACCTGGGCAAACTCCAAACTCCTCTTCTCCATGTCTGATGTCAAAGTGGTCTTCAGATCTCCAACTCCTTTTTCATCTTTGTTGACTGCAACAAACTTCTTTCTCCTTAGCTGGTTCCATTCCCTGTTAGAAGCTTTCCTCAGCAGATAGACCACGGCTCTGGCATCTCAAACATCTTGGGGTCTCCAAGGCAACATCAATGTTACAGCTTCTTGTTTCAATGTCTGGGATCCACATGATCTTCTGGGCTGCTCCAAAGGGCTGCCATCTGTAGCACTCTAAGCTCAGGTTGATCCACTCCACTGCCACTGCTGTTCTTGGTGATTATCCCATGGTACTGACATCTACAATACACTGGAGTCTTCCACTGCAACTAGGCTTCACCAATAGCCCCTCATAGGTGACAAGCCTCAGCTCCTTTGCATGACACCTTCAGTCCTGGGCCATCAACTGCAACTGGGGCTGCACCTTCACCAATGGCCTTCCATGACCTCTCACAGTGCTGAGCCTCAGCTGCTCCTCATGATGTCCTCAAGGCTTCAAAACCAATACCATCTGGGTGACTCTTACACATCACCAAGTACAGCTGCAGCATGAGGAACAACTTTGGCTATCTCTGGGACACAGTTTCTTTGTGCTTTCAGAAAACACTTCCCAGAAGATTTCACCTCAGTGATGCTATTCTCTTCTTAATCAACACTAATTTCTTAGCTCTAGCTCACCAGCATCCATTTCCCCAGTAGTCCCTTCTATTTTTTACTCTAAAGCTAGAGCCAAATGGCCAAAGCTGTTGAGTTCTGCTGCTTGCAGGAGCTGGAACATGGCTCACTTGTTCTATTACATCATTACCAGCTTTCTGTTTTCCAGCTGCTGCACTACCTAGGCTTGGCTGTCCTGGATCTTGATTTGTACCTTGACCCTTGAACTCAGAGAGCTGCATGCCTGTCTCCTGGAATTAAAGGTGGTACACACCATGCCTGGTTCTAAATTTAGCTGGATGGAATCTTGCCCCAAAGTTGCATTCCTTTAATCTCTTAGAACACAGAATGCAGCTCCATTTCCCTCCCTCTCCCTCTTTCTCCCTCTGCCCTTTCCTATACAAACACTGATGGTAGTCCAAAGTTGAAACAACACAAATAGTCATACATTGATAAAATGTTTATCAAAAGCTTTATTTGTCCATAAACAAGTGATGCTACAAGATGCATAAACCCTGAAGACACGTTAAGCAAAGGCAGTTAGTCACACAGAGCACATGCCATGTGTGCTATATGAAGTGTCCAAGAGCTAGGTATGGACTCAGTGAATCTGGGAAACTGTTACAGCAACCTGGTTCTTAGACATTTTCTAGAAATGACCCAAACATGGAGTCAGTCAATCAGCTGGATGGGAGGTGCAGGGTGGGTAGGCCCTCTGCTTTATTTTGGTTTTGGTTTCCAATCAAACCACAAAGATAAGTTCAACTTACTCGTTCCTTGGAGCATGGCTCTAGGAGTTGGGCGTATCCTAGTTTTCTTTCTGTTGCTGTCTTGTTTATTTGGCTTACATTTCCATATCACAGTCTATCACTGAGTGACATTAGCAAACCGGGGGCAGGAACTGAAGCAGAGACTGTGCAAGGAAGCATGCTGCCTTGTTTCCAAGCTCACCTTCAGCTACCTTTCTTTTCTTTCTTTCTGTTATTCTTTCAAGAAGGGGTCTCTCTACACAGACTTAGCTGTCTTGGAACTCACTGTGAAGCCCAGGCTGGCCTCCAACTCACAGAGATACTGCTAACCATCTTTCCAGTGTAGTGCTGGCATTAAGGGCATCTAGGCCACTATGCCCAGCCCCAGCTACCTTTCTTATACCTCTGAGAAACAGTTGCTCCAGGTGGCACACAGTGGGCTGGCCCACCCACATTAATTATTCATCAGAGAAAATGCCCCATAGACTTGCCTACAATTTGTTGAAGGCAGGTGTTTTCTCTGTTGAAGTTTCCAGTTTCCTCTTCACATATGACCTGAATATATGCCAAACTGACAAAAAATAAACAAACAAGACCAAAAAAAAAAAACTATTTAGCACAGGAGCCTAGAACATGCTAAAGGCTGAGGTTGGGAGATCATTAAAAGATGTCCTAGCATTGTAAATGTTGCAAAACTCTATAAATATAATTAAAAGTCATTGAGTAGTACACTTTATTATTATTACTGATTTTCTGTTTTTTAGGAATTCTTATAGCTAAAAGGGGTTGGGGGAAGCAAGTGGCTTCAAACTTTGTAGTCAAGGGTTACTTAGAATTTCTGAGTTTCCGGCTTCCAAACTCATAGTTGTAGGATTGCAGGGGTGCACTGCCATGCCTGGTTTATTAAATAGTACAGGTATGTTAATACATATAATTAAAAATAAAACTTAAAAAAATTTCCATTATGGGAGAGGGGTGTCTCTAGAGTCCTTACTCCTGAGAGCTACTTGTCAGTCACTGGTTTCTGGGGCATAGAGACTCATTTCTTTTTAGAAGTGTGGGCATTGGTAGGTTCCCAGTATTAGTATTTTGTCTAAACTCCACCTCCACAGTTATCTGGCAACAGCCAGGTATGCTCTGCCCCACAGTTACCTGACAACAGCCAGGTAAGCCTGCCCACTATAAAAGGGACTGCTTGCCCCTCCTCTCTCTCTCTCTCTCTCTCTCTCTCTCTCTCTCTCTCTCTCTCTCTCTCTCTCTCTCTCTCTCTCTCTCTCTGTGTCTCTCTGTCTCTGTCTCTGTCTCTGTCTCTCTCTCTCTCTCTCTCTCGCTCTCTCGCTCTCTTGCTCTCTTG